CATAATCATCAGAGACACAAATTTGAGCCTAAGGCACATAAGTGCATTTTTCTAGGATATGCCTCCACACCGAAGGGATATTGTTGTTTTGATCTAGTTCGTGTCACCCGCTTTGTCTTTAGGGATGTCACTTTTGCTGAGTCTATTCCTTTCTTTGGTACTCTCCTGAGGGGGAGCATTCTAAGGAACCATTTGCTATGTCTCTAGTTATTCATCTTCTAGTTCCTTTTGAGTAGTCTTCTGTTGAGTAATATTCTTCTGTTGCCTCTCCTTCCATTGTGTCTATCTCACATGTTCTTGCTCCCCCTCCTCCCCCAACTCATCCTCCTATATTTTCCTCACATCCTATTCTCCAAAGGTGGTACCAAAGGCAAAGATTTAGGCATGGACAAGTTGTTTCCACTCCTTCATCAGAGCCTCTTGCATCTCCCATCACTATTGAGGTAACAGGTCAGCCTTCCTCTGACCCACCTACTACCTTTCTAGACCTTGACCTTCCTATTGCCCTTCGCAAAGGCAAGTGGAATTGTATAACACATTGTATCTCTAAACATTTGTCTTACAACCTTCTATCCCTTACCTATTATTCTTTTCTTGCCTCTATTTTTACCCATGTGATTCCCAGGTCTGTACCAGAAGCCTTATCCAAACTTGAATGGAGGGATGCTATGATGATTGAGCTAGATGCTTTGCATAAGAACCATACTTGGGATATTGTGGACTTGCCTGAAGGGAAGGAACTAGTGGGTTATCAATGGGTATTCACTATCAAATATCATTCTGATGGCACTATTGAGAGGTTTAAGGCACAACTGGTTGCTAAGGGTTACACTCAAATGTATGGTATAGATTACCTTGAGACTTTTGCTCCTGTGGCTAAAATGACTCAAGTTAGAGTTTTGTTGTCTCTAGTTGCTACTTTTGATTGGCCCCTTCACCAATATGATGTTAAAAATGCTTTCTTGAATGGAGACCTACATGAAGATGTCTATATGTCTTTACCTGTAGGGGTATATGGAATGGAAATGCAAGGGAAGGTGTGTAAATTGAATAAGTCTATTTATGGTCTCAAACAGTCTCCTAGAGCCTGGTTTAAGAGATTTAGAGCTGCCCTTGTTTCTTTTGGTTATACATAGATTCAATCTGACCATACTTTGTTTCTGAAGAAAAGTAACTCTTTGGTGACTTTTCTAATTGTTTATAATGATGACATTGTGGTTACAGGTAATGACACTCGGGAAGTGATTAAGCTCAAAAGATTTTTAAATACTGAATTTGAGATAAAAGATTTGGGGGATCTTAGATACTTTTTGGGAATTGAAGTTGCTATATCCAAGGATGGTATCTTCATTTTTCAACGCAAGTATGTTCTTGATCACTTTGCAGAGACTGGTAAACTTGGTGCTAAACCCAGTGTTTTAAAAGCGAAAGGCGCAATGGCCATTTTGCGCCTGAGGTGCAAGGCGAGGCGCGCGTCTTTTTGAGGCAAGGCACACAGTTTTTTGAAAAATAAAAAATAAATGATAAAATGGACGGGAATAATTAAAAGACATATTCCTAAACTTCAAATGGGGTGGATTGTGGAGCCTCAATTTTATTGAGAAAAATTGAAAACAAATGGGGTGGATCCCCTGTTTTTATGATAAAAACTGAAAAGTAATATGTTTCAATGAGAAAAACTGAAAAAAATGTGGTGGATCTTGTGTTTTATGAGCGCAAGGCGGAAAAATAAAAAAATGTTAGAAAATTCAAAAATGCCAAAAAATTCAAAAAAAAAACATAATATTTATAAAAAATATAAACTTAAATTTAATATAAATGTTTTAAAAGACATATTATCTAAAAATAAAATACATAAACATAAGATGTAAAGCATATTCAAGTGAGAATTTAAAAATAAAATCAAACATATAAAACTTTTTTAGGCATGTAAAACCTCTAGTCTCTTTTTTCGCTCAATTGCATTACTTCAAGTAGCTAATGTAATGTAAAACATATTACATTCCTGATTCTACGAGCTGCCTTTGTGCCACGCCTCTCGAGGCAAGCCCAAACAAGTCCATGCTAGGTGTTAAATTCTTAGCTTTCACACAAAAAAATAATGAATTTATAACTTTCATTGCCTTTTAAGAAGATATTTTATTGCAATGAATGAATGAACATTAGCAAATAGGGGGTATGCCTAGGTGCACTAGGCGTGTGCCTTTTAAAATGGCTGCGCCTAGGACCTAGGTGAGGTGCATACCCTAAAATGCGCCACGCCTATGCGCCTGAGGTGCGCCTTTTAAATCACTGGGTGGATCCCCTGTTTTAATGATAACAATTGAAAAACAATAAGGAAGAGCCCCTGCTTTAATGAGAAAAACTGAAAAAAAGGGGTGGATCCCCTGTTTTTATGATAAAAATTGAATAAACAAATGGGGCGTAGCCCTTGTTTTTGCGCAAGAAACAAGGAGAGAGGGCAGAGCTCCTGTTTTACTAATAAAACTGAAGAAGAAGAGAGAGAGAGAGAGGGCGGAGCCCTTGTTTTACTGATAAAACTGATGAAGGGCGGAGCCCCTCTTTTGCTGAGAAAATTGATGAAGAAGGGCGAAGCCCCTGTTTATTGAGATAAATAAAAATAAAAAAAATAAAAGGGGCGAAGCCCTTGTTTTTATGCATGTTTTGTATGAAGAAGAAGAAGAAAAATAGGGCGGAGCCCCTATTTCAGCCTGGACTGTCAATTGCAGCAGGAAGAAGAACAAAAAAAAAAAAAAATACATAACATACCTGATAGGCTGATACTGTAGCTCTGTTCGATTCAGGCTCAGAGTCTTGGACGAACTTGAGCTTGAATGAGCTTCAACTTCCTTTGGTTTGTCCTCTGGAGTGCTAACTTTTGGACGAAGGAAGTCTTCCCTCCAAACTTTTTTTATTTATTTTTTTTCTTTTGGTTGTTTTGGTAAAGACCCTGTCGATTCAACTTCCTTTTTCCTAAGTTTCCTATTTTGTGTTTTTTATTTTTTTAATATAATTTCAAATCCTATTTTAAGTTGAATTGTCTAAACATCATCTAGGTGCTCGCTTGGGCCACTTGTTGCCTGGTCTGAGGTGTACGCCTAGGCACAAAGGCGAGCTCCTGTTAGGTTCGTGTGCCTTAGCCTGGGCAATTCGCCCCTGGAAAGCGCCTCGCCTCTGTGCCTAGGCACGCCTTTTACAACATTGGGGGCGCCTCGCCTCTATGCCTAGGCGCGACTTTTAAAACACTGGCTAAACTAGCTTCTACTACCCCTGTAGATCTAAACCATAAGCTTTTTGCTACTGATGGTGAACTGTTGAATGATAGGGGAGTTTTCCGGAGACTGTTCAGGAAGTTGTTATTATCTCTGCTCGACTCGGCCAGATATTTCCTATGCAGTAAGTGTTATTAGTCAGTTTATGCAGTCTCCTAGAGATACACATTTAGCAGTTGTAGAAAGAGTTTTGTGCTATTTGAAAGGTACTCCAGGGAAAGGTATTTTGTTTTCCAAGCATGGACACATGAAGCTAGAGGCATACATTGATGCTGATTGGGCCGGATGTATTGATGATAGGAGATCCATCTTAGGATATTGTGCCTTGGTGGCAGGGAACAATGTGTCATGGAGAAGTAAGAAATAGTCTGTAGTTGCCAGATCCTCAACTGAAGCAGAGTATAGGGCAATGGCACATGGAGTGTCGGAATTATTGTGGTTGAGATCACTTTTGGGAGAATTGGGCATTGACCATGAAAAGCCAATGATGCTCTACTATGACAACTAGGCAGCTATTAACATTGCACATAATCCTGTTCAGCATGATAGAACTAAGTACATAGAGGTTGGTAGACATTTCATAAGGGAGAAAGTTGCTTTAGGAGAAGTTTGCTTGCCATTTATTGCTTAAGAAGAGCACTTGGCTGATGTTTTGACCAAAGGTGTTCCAAAAGGAAAGATGACACAGTATATAAGCAAGATAGGCATGACTGACATCTATGCTCAGCTTGAGGGGGAGTGTAGAGAGACTGGGCTGAATGGACCCTAATATTTCTTTTATGTTTAAGTAATGTTATATCTGTTTTATGTGTTAATGGGCCTGTTAACCTCCTTTTAAGTTCTTTTAAGTTACTGCTTTGCTGGCCGCCCACTTAAAGGGCAGACTTGTAATTAGCATGATTAATTAAGTGTAATAAAAGGTTAGTGAAGGGAGAGAGAGAACCATCGAACTCTCTTCTTCTTCTATTCTCTGTAACCTTTCTTTCTCTTTCACTTTTTCGTATTTCTTTTATCAGTTTTATATCAGATTTGAAGGACAGACTCACATCTTATTTGTTCTTGTACTGTTTTTGTTGTAAGGTGCTGCCTTAACATAACACCTATCTAGGATATACCATTTCTTCTTATTTTAATGAACTTATTACTTATAAAAAAAGGTTCAAACACCCCAATATGCTAGAAGGGGATATCAAGTCTTTGAGCTTTACGTTTTTTATTTCTTATTCTTATTTTTTTCAAAATTTCTACTTGGGCATATTTTTATGTGTTTTTTATTTCTTATTCTTAAGAATACCTTTAAATGGGTGTATTGGAACCTTCAAGATATGATATGATATGCCCGATACGGGGTGTATTGAATCGAAATTTTGGACCTTTGATATTGGGAGGATTGGGGCTCCTTGTTTTTGCTTCAGCTGCAAAGCTGTTCATTTCTGTTTGTCTTTATAATAAATATGTTTTCATTTTACTACTAAAAAGAATGTTTCTTAGGGTAGCCTTGGTTTTTATTCGTGCCTGGTTCTTATAACCAAATCCAGGATGATGATGAGTATTCTTAGTATAATTTATAGATATAATCTTAGTATTGTTTTCGATCAAATAGAAAGTTGGACATCCGAACATACATGAACTTGTATGCATTTAAAGAGTATATATTGCTATAAGCATCTTATCATCCAGAAAATGCCTTTTCCTATGCATTGTGAAAATTTCCTTTTGTTGTTTCAGGCGATTGCTGTTGCTGGATGTGTTCGTGATTCCTGGCCTGTTCTAGTTCTGACTCCTTCTTCGTTGCGTTTGCATTGGGCTTCTGTATGCTAGCATGCCAACCCTATATACTCTATAATTACAAATAAGATGAAGATTATGTTGAGAACATACTTATTGGTATTTTTCTCACAGATGGTTCAACAGTGGCTGAATATTCCTTCTTCAGACATTGTTGTAAGTTTTCTGTAATCCCTTGTGAATTTCTGGTAGTCAATTTTCTCTCCTGGGTTGTGGTTGGATATTTGTCTTTTTCTTGATTATTGTTTCCACTATGTCTCATACGTCAATACATAACTTGTGAATCAAGATCCCTCAGTTGTAGATATACGAATGGAATGTGGGCTGTCAAGGTTAACCTTGTAAATCTTGTTGCTGGTACTTATTATTTGTAATTGTTTCGTTTACAGGCTAATTTTGGGTCTTTTGGGATTCTCAACTGGGATATGGTGTGGTTTGCAATTTTGACGCTATTTGGCGATATATCCCTGAAATATCCTCATTTGCTAGGTGGCGATACGAAATCTTCCAGGAATCTTTTTTATCCAAATATCCCCGATATTTTGTTGATATGTCGGTGACATTTCAGATTTCATTGTAGACTATATATATAAAACTTAAAATCTTAGAATATTATAAAAAACTTGTGGAGAATTGGTGATTGGATAATTGGGTTACTACTTTGATATGATTTCACTTGCGAAGTCACTATAATTCAAAAGAAAAAGAAAAATGCATATAACTACAAAAAGTATTCTCAATCTAATCAAAACATATAGTAACAATAGAGATGAAAGTTAAAATTGCATATAATTGACATATATAAAGAAGAGAAGATGGCTAAAGACCAAAAGGGAGACAGAGAAGCATACCTATTACAGTCTTAATTTTTCCTATTTGATTTATATAGTTCTTTGCTATGGTTTTGAGCCTTAAATGTCTTATATTTCTTCTAATGATCTCTTAAAGGTTTATTAACTAATTCCATGCTTCTAGAAAACTGTCCAGATTTTTTTTAGATTTTCCAAATATCTTAGTGAGATTAGAGAATTATCTCCAAAATTTCTCCAACTCTACATGGTGAAATATGTTCATCGATATCAAAATTATAAACCATGGGTGTAGGAAAGAATTATTTCATAGTGGTGTTAGATTGGTTATATTGGTTATAGAGTATCTTATGTTTCTGAGCAATTTAGGGGTGTCATATGTGGTTATAGGATATCTCAGGTTTCTGAAATTTATAGTGCAGTTTTTACTTTGAATTCATAATTTCTCTATATAAAGTGTGGTCAACCATAAATATGAAAAACAACAAGGGAAAATAAAGAAAAGCAATTGAGAATCTCTGTTCTGGTTAACAAAGAGAACCATGGGGAGAACCGGAGAAGCTTGGGAAAGTTTTGGGGTTTCAAATTTATAATCTGGATGATTTATTTTGATTGTACTTTGGCTGGTTTTGGTGTTTTAGTTTGTTTGCAGGTGCTGCCTTAACACCTGGTTAGGATGTAACAAAAATTTTCTTTTTCTAATGAAAATTTATTTTTACAATAAAAAAAGAGAATCTCTGTTCTGTGTTAACAAGATAAAAGAGTATGTGAAGAATTGGGCTGTGGCTGTTAGAGAGTTCTAAAAAAATTGTCCTCAACAACTGGCACCCCTTGTTTTTTTATAAATATGAAAGATGGACAATTACATCTATACCCCCATAGTTAAATTACAATTATTATGTTAATATGGTCAATTTAGTCTTTTTCTTTTGTCGTCCTTTTCTGTTACTAGTAAGTGTGCACATGCTTTGCACATGGCAATTCTAGATGATGATAATGATAGTAATGATGTATCCAAAATTTTCTGTAAGGGGGGCATACTTGTAGTTTTAGTCCTCATTATATAAAAATATAAAGGTGGGAGCAGTTGAGATTATTTAGTTTGATCTCTCTGCTTTCAGCTCTATTTTTCTTTTCCTTTTTCTTCTCTTCTTCTTCTTCTTCTTCCCTTTTTCTTCCCTTCATGTTGGAATGTATATTTCATGAAGATGGGTGTATTAGAATTCTCATCACTCATCACTCATCAGACATCATTGTTGTTAGGTTGTTGCACCTCTCATTTGCTATTGGTTGTGATTCTGCAATTTCCATCTTATGATGTCAAAGAATAGGCCATTAGGCAGTGGACTCCGTTTATGAGATTTGGGAAACCTTATCAGGACTGAATTCTTAATCAATTTGGGGAAATAAATACCATAGCAGATGGGCTTTGCAAATATGGAAATGAGGTCAAACTTTTTGTATAGTTGCAACTCCTTTCCCACATTTTTTTACTTGAGAGAGCTGATTGTTCACATCCTGTTCAACATTGTACCTTCTCCTATGCACTTACTGATTTTCTAAATATAACGTATAACCATGATCTTTTCTTGAAAGGGAAAAAACACGTTACCTTACTAAAAATGAGACAGAAAAGGTGCAGGATCAGAAAGAAGAAGAATGAAGCCCTTGTTTTCTTCTTTTTTTGTGCACTGTTTTTAGTAATCCTATGCTAGTATAGGATTACTAAAAGAATGAATCCCTTTTTTTGTACTGATTTTAGTCAATACGGTTATAACTGTTAAAAATATAAAAAATATGACAAGCTAATGTTAAAAGAGTTGAAGTCTGTTCCGTTATTAACTTATTATATATATGGTGATATTGCGTATGGAAAATAATGTACAGGTGGTATTATCACAGTGGGGTGGGTCAAATAGGGCAGGGTTTACTATAGTACAATCAAGTGCGAAGGGGACCATACACCTTGATGGTGTATTCAACATTGTATCATATGATGTCATACCTAAGTTACAGCATCTCCTCATGGCTTCAGAATTCAAGGTTAGTACTCTTGGAATGGTTTATCCTCTTGGTTTATGTGTTATTCTTTTTACTCTTATTTATGATTACCAGCTTTTGTTCTTGTTTTTTTTATTGTTGCTTTCGATTATGGAATCTGAATTTTTCTTGATAGTGAAAAGAAATTCATTAAAAGAGAAAGCTAATTTACAAGATAAAGGAGTGTTGAGATAATCTCCATTAATAAATTTGTCCAGCTTTTGAAAAGTGGCACTGTGGCAGTCAGAAAATAAAAATGAATGAATCTGTCATAGAGATTATACAAAGTTCACATTGTCTATGCATCATTGTCTATTAGGTTCAAGAGAGTGCAAAGTTCATTTAAAAAAGAGTTTCTTGGTATGTCCTTGAACTCTGGAAAGACCATTTTCAAAGCCACAAGATTTGGCTCTATTATCAGCACTAACATGTCTTTTGTCTCTGGTCTTCCCTTGGAAGATTCACCTGCTTCTTATTCTTTAAATGCCCTGACAGATCATGAAAGGGAGGGCACTACAAAAGATCTTTGCCTTAGTACTTCCATCAAATGATGCTCACCTGGAAAATATCTGGTCAGAGATGAATGATGGTTTCATTATCTTTTGAACAATTAGGAATTCCTTTCAGTTCCTCCCAAAATTTACTCGATTAACCCTATTAGGACCTTACACATTGTTTGGTGCCCTTTCCTTATCCCCCAACATCCCCTCCCCCCAAAAATGTCTTCAAACCAAAAGGAAATGGTATATCTTCTTTTCAATGTATTAATGTTGTCTCCAAACCAAAAGGGGGATGCCAAATCTTTTGTCTCCAAGAAATCATCAGTTGGAATGTGAGGGGGCTGGGGAGTGCTAGGAAAAGAAAGCTAATTAAGGACCTCCTTAGAAGGGAAAGGCTGGATATTGTGATGTTACAAGAGACCAAGTTAGCTGAAATTGATAGAAGGTGGGCAAGAAGTATCTGGAAATCTAGAGGAATAAGTTGGGTTTCTACACCTTCTTGGGGGGCTTCGGGAGGTATTGCCACTTTTTGGAAAGAGGATGCTGTGGAGGTATTGGAGGAGCTGATAGGTAACTTCTCAGTGTTGTTAAAATTCAGGATGGTAGAGGATGGATTTACTTGGGCACTAACTAATGTGTATGTACCAAGCAATTACATAGAAAGGAATGAATTTTGGGAACAACTTTATGGGATTTGAGGATTTTGGAAGGGTTCATGGTGTTTGGGGGGGATTTCAATGTAATTTAGTTTATGAATGAGTCAAATATTCCCCAAGGTCATTACAACTGGCATACAGAGATTCAATGATTTCATTAATAGTTGTAAGTTGAAGGAACTCCCATTGTTGCAAGCCCTTTATACTTGGTCCAACTTTTAGGAGATACCAACCTTCTCCAAATTAGACAGGTTCCTATTCAATGAAAGTTGGGAAAACAAGTTGGCGGATTTGATAACTAGAGCCCTACCTAGAGATACTTCTGACCATTGCCCCAATGGTTTGAAAACATGTAGTTGACTCACCTGGATTTCGTGAAGAAGGTTGAGGAATGGTGGAGAGAAGAACTTAGGGGGGGGGTGAAAGGGGTAAGATTTCACAAAAAAAAACTAAAACGATTGTGAACACATGTGAAGGATTGGGAGGATTGGAATAGGGAGCATTTTGAGAGAATAGAAGAAACGAAATCCTCTTTGATGACCCAAATAGAGGAATTGGATGCGAAGGAATCCCAAAGAGTCATAAACACTCAGGAAAAAGAGATCGGACATGGACTAGCAGAATTTCATGCAAACTGTGTGGACTCATGGCTGACAAAGTGGGGGACATTCTGCCCAGTGTGCAAGCAAGATGTTATCATAGATGCAATGGACTCAAGTGAGCAAAGATCAATACTCTCATTGTTGAATGCTGGATAATGTGGTATTTGGCAGTTGGATTTTCATGTTAATCATACATGGCTTCTATCTTGGTGTACCACCAAAAGGTGAAACAAGTGTTTTTTTTTTCCATCTTGATTTCTTCTTGTAAATGCAAATCAATGAAGATACCTCTCTTCTTAGTATTTTTGTCCATCTAATATGCATTGGTTAAATGTTGGTTCACATAAATGCAATACCTTGATACAGTCAAATCTATTACCTTAAGAAAAAGATGCTGATTGGTAAATTTCTAATTTGGATGTTGTTCTGAAATGATGGTATTCCAAGGGTAATGCTAAAGCAAGTATCTGGGACAGGTAAGCAGCTAAGAGATGGAAAGGATATTTTGGTAGAGTGTCTAAATGAAAATATTAAGCTGGAATGTCAGGGGTTTGGGAGGGCAGATCAAAAGAAGCCTAGTGAAAGAAACTTTGAAAAGAGAAAACCCAGATATAATTATTCTTCAGGAATCTAAAAAGGAAGTTATTGACAGGAAACTTAAGAAAGCAATTTGGGGTATAAGGGGAAGAAAATGGACTACTGTTCCAGCGGTGGGGTCCAGTGGGGGAATCATCCTTGTTTGGAAGGAAGATGAAATCTCAGGATTGGAGATCGACAAAGGTGAGTTCTCTGTCTCGGTCTTGTTCACAAATTTAAAAGAAGATTTCAGCTGGATTATACCGGAGTATATGGCCCCAACTCTCCCTCTGAGAGAGAGAGAGAGAGAGAGATTCTGGGAAGAACTGGATTCCTTGCATGAGGAGGAGGATATCCCATGGTGCTTAGCTGGAGATTTTAACGTCACATGATTCAGCTCAGAACATTCCAATGGTAGAGCCCCAACAAGAAGTATGAGGAACTTCTCAAAATTTATCTCCAGGCATAACTTGTGTGACCTCCCCCTTACTAATGGACTCTTCACTTGGTCAAATATGCAAGAAAATGTCATAAGTTGCAGGCTGGATAAATTTCTGCTTTCTCAGGAGTGGCTGGAAAGATTCCCTAACCTTTGCCAAGAACTTTGCCCCAGATGTATTTCAGACCACTGACCTATTATAAACACTGAAAGAATCATCAGAAGAAAGACCCCTTTTAGACTGGAAAAATTCTGGTTATCTCACAAAGACTTCAATAAAAAGGTTGCAGAATGGTGGGATGAATGCAAAATAGAGGGTTGGGCTGGCTTTAGGCTCCTGCAAAAATTAAGAGCTCTAAAGAGAAAACTGAAAGCTTGGGGGAGAGAGGTTTTCAAAACTGTTGAAGAAGAGAAGAAAAGAGTTCTTACAGAGTTGGAGGAGCTGGATAGCAGAGAACAAAATGGGACCCTAGATGCTCTAAACAGAAGTAGAAGAGCAGATTTGAAAAAGGAATGGGAACAATTGATCAGAAGAGAAGAAATTTACTGGAGACAAAGATCTAGAGTGAAATGGCTGAAAGGAGACAATAATTCCTGATTTTTTCACACTTATGCCTCGGGAAGTAGGAAAAATTTCATCTCCAAACTGAAAGTGAATCAGAGGGAAGAGGAAAATCTCGAGGAAATTAAGGAAGCCTTATTCTCCTTTTTCAATAACCTTTACTCCAAGGATAGTAATAACCAATTTACATTGAGTAGATGGGGGGCACAACTTTATCAGCTGAAAAAAGGGTTTTGGTTGGAAAGAAACTTTGAAGAGGAAGAAGTTAAAAATTAATTCTATCTTCTGCATGGATGGAGATGGGGTTCCAGGACCGGATGGTTTTCCCATCTCTTTCTTCCAACAGTGTTGGGAAATAGTAAAGTCAGATCTTATGGATTTTAGGGAATTCCACTCTTCGGCCATTGTTAACAAAGGCCTTAACTCAACCTTTCTCTGTCTCATCCCAAAGAAAGGGGGAGTCTTGGAAGTTAAAGACTTTAGGCCAATAAGTTTGATAGGGAGCATTTATAAAATTTTGGCTAAAGTCTTGGCCAATGGACTTAAAGAAGTCCTTGAAGAACTTATTTCCCCAAATCAATTTGCCTTTGTTAAAGGGAGACAGATCGTGGACAGCATTCTAATTGCAAATGAGTGTGTGGTGACAGAAAGTCCACTGGGAATCTGGGGGTCCTAGTGAAATTAGATCTAGAAAAGGCGTATGACAAAGTGGATTGGGAATGTATCCTCGATTGCCTGAAGATGAGAGGTTTTGGTAGCAGATGGATCAGATGGATTAAGGGTTGGATTGGCTCCTCTTGGTTTTCGGTGCTGATAAATGGTGAAGCAAAAGGCTACTTTAAGGCTAGCAGGGGACTCAGACAAGGTTGCCTGCTCTCCTCCTTTTTGTTCACTTTAGTAATGGATATCTTTGGCTACCTTTTCAATAAGGCAATGTCCCTTAACTTGGAGAAAGGTTTCGAAGTGGGAAGAAACAAGATTCATATCTCACATTTACAGTTTGCTGATGACATACTCTTGTTTTTGGATACCTCCATAACCAACATCACAAACACTAGAAGGTTAATTGAATGCTTTGAAATTGTCATTGGTTTGAGGGTTAACTTCTGCAAAAGTTCTATAGTTGCTATAAACTCAGTGGAAGTGGAACTCTTTGAGAGTTTCAAATCTTTGTTGGGGTGTAAAGAGGAGTCTTCCTATCTCATATCTAGGGATGCCTCTTGGAAGGAATCCAAAATCTCTCAATTTCTGGAGACCAGTAGTGGAAAAATGTGAGAAGAAACTTTCAGCTTGGAAGAAGTGCTATCTCTCTAAATGGGAGGGACTTACTCTCTTGAAGGCCTCCTTAACAAATATGCCAGTCTACTTCCTTTTAACTTTCCAGATTCCTACCAAAATCAGAAATCAAATTGAGAAGCTCCAAAGGAACTTTCTTTGGGAAGGAGGTGGGGAAAAGAGGAGTCACTTAGTCAGTTGGAAACAAGTTTGCAAGCTGAAAGAGGAAGGTGGCTTGGGAATTGGGCACCTAAAAGAGAAAAAATCTTCTCTCTTCGGTAAATGGCTGTGGAGGTTCCCTAAAGAACTGAATGCTCTTTGGACTGCTATCATCTCAAGCAAATATGGATCAAATGTGAACAGGTGGGATAGCAATCTCCATTTGAACAAGAT